TGTTCAGCCATTGTATGTGTGATCTGTTTGCATTACAGCACATCCAGGCCATTGTAACTAACTAATTTTTCACAATTTCTGAGATAAATTACCTGTTCTTTTATATGAGAAGATTCACACAGGAGAGAAACCTGTGTGGTCACCTTTATCCCAAAGTTTTTCTATGGAAAAATCAAAGAAATCATGGGGAGAAACAATGCAACAAATTAGGAACGACTTGTCAGGGATACATATTATTTTATGCTGAAAATAAAGCAAATTTTTAGAAATATCTTTAATGTGTCAATACTTTAAACAAAATTTCAAGTTTCTTTTATAGCACAGAATTTGAAATGAAGCTAAAAGTATCAACTTATGTAGAATGTATGTAAATTTTCAAATGGAAAGGTTATAGTATCAAAACTATTTTAAAAATTCTTTTGACTTTATTATAATAGTTATGTATAAGAAGTTATATTGACTGCTGGGGGTATTTGCCTATATCTGGAGACATTTTTGGTTGCCATAAATGGAGGCATTGGTCCTTCTAGTGGTTAAGTGCCAGGGATGCTGCTAAACAGTGTACAGTGCACAGAACAGCCATCTCGAGTATGTAGGGTTTATGCATATAAGTATTCTATGTTAACAGGAATTTCCTTTAATGGATCCTACATAAATTTGGGTAGTGAATATATACACAGCATATTAAATATAGTGACTTACATTTGTATCTCTTACATTAAATACCACTCTAGCCTTTTTATAGCTAGTTAAATATCACAGACCTTTTCTCAGTTGACTGTAGAAGTATGGATTTATGAAGATATTTAATAGTTTGTGAGCAAATAGAATTAAAATATAATACAAATTCTTTCTCAAGTTATCTGACATACCCTCATATTTATGGGCTTATTTATGATAAATCCCCTAGCAATCTAGGAATAGAATGAAAATAAAACTTCTTAGACCTGCTAAAGGGCATCTTTAGAAAACATACACCTAACATCATACACAATAATGAAAGACTAGGTGCTTTAACCTCCAAGTTTGAAAAACAAGACAAGAATGTTCAATTTTACCACTTTATTTCACTTTGACCTGGAGAAAGTAGCTAAAACATTACATAAAAAGTAAATAAAGTTATTCATATTGGAATAGAAAAAGTAGAGCCATCTTTAATTTCAGATGACATAAAGTTGTATATAAAACTTTGTAAGAGATTTGCTAACATAATGCTAGTATCCATAAATGAATTTATCAGATCAACATACAAAGTTCATCTGTATTTTTTCATACTAGCAATAAGTAATCTAAAAATTGAATTTAAAACAAATCCATTCATAATAGCACAAAAAACTATTAGAAATAAGTTTTACAAAAGAAGTGCAAGTGTTTATACTAAAAATTAAAAGAAAACATTCCTGAAAGAAAAAATATACTGAATAAATCCATTAAATGTTTGAGGATAACAATATTTAATGCTGTTAAGATCACAATACTCCACAAATTAATATAAAAGTTTAATGCAATTTCTTCAAATTCACAACAGCCTGTTTTACAGAAATTGACAATCTCAATTTTCCTAAAATTGATATGAAAATGCAAATAAAACTGAATACTCACAACAATTTTGAAAAGGAAAATTGGATAACTCACACTTCCCAATAACAAATTTTACTTTAAATTTCCATTATTGACAATGTACTACTATCATAAGAATAGATTCATGGGGGTCATTGAGATAAATTTAAAGGTCCAGTAATAAATAGTTTTGTTATTGTAAATTGATTTTGACAAAGGTGCCAATATATTTCAATGAAGAAAGAACAGCTTTTTTCAACAAATGGTGCTGGGAAAACTATATACACTTGCAGAAAGATAAAGTTGAACCCCTAACTCAAATCAGACCCATTCACAAAAATATTCAGAGTGGATCTCTTATTGTTTGTAGGAGCTAAAAGTATAAAACTTATAGAGAAATAATGGAGTAAATATTTGTAATTATATGTTGGGTAGCAATTTCTTAGATATTACACCAAAATCACAATCTACAGGAGGAAATGAAAAGATAAACTGCATTTGATAACATTTTAACACATTTTTCAAATGAGACCATAAAGAAAACAAAAAGGCAAGTCAATTCATGTAAAAATTTTTTTAATTATGTATCTGTGTCAGGGATATATTTCAAGAAACTCTTAAAAGTCAGTAATATGCAATCAATTTTTTTAAGTGGAGAAAGTATTTCAATAGACATGTCTACAAACAAGATATGCAAATTGTCAATAAGTACATGGAAATACGAACATTTTTGTGATTAGAGAAATGTAAATGAAAACCATAAGGAGGATAATTAACACCCAANACTGCTGAAGTAAACCGAGGTAAACTTTCTCTACGAATGTTCTAAAAATATGCTGTAAATTATCATCTGTGTTACAGTTTTCTTCTACTTTCTGTTTTATTCTATTTTTTATTTTTTTATCTTAACTTCTCGATATGCATTGCAGTTGAATTTTGTGTCCCTTTACCTGTTGCCTTCTATCCCCTCTCCTTTCTTTATCAAATTGCAAGTGACCTTAAAGAGCCTCTTCAGTTTTAAATTTTGCAGCTCTTTTTCTACTTTGCTTTTCTTATAGAACTTCAGTGAGGCAGCCGTCTTTATACCATGTCCTTTGGGAATGCTGGGAATGGGGTATAGAAAGAAATAAAAATCACATACACACAAAAATATATGCTTTCATATTGTTTTCACTAAGAACGCATCTTGATTTTCATTGCATTATGATTTTTCATATAATTCTACTGCTTCTGTCAACATTCTACAGCTCTAGAAAATGTAAATAGCAGCATATTTATTTTTAGTGGAGAGCAGAGAGATGTAGAGA